ATCTTCCTTCAGAAAGCTGTAAAACAAAGTGTGAGAAATGCAAGACATAGTCAACTTACAATTACCAGGAAGTACAATGACATAATAGGAAAAGATGCTGAATACGGGAAGGTTGAAAATGCCCACGCTTGGCCCCTCTATTTATTGAATGTGGCATACGTTCAAAATGTCCTTATATGTAAGACTCTTGTCTCTGGGACAGGGCGTCTTGTGTGGCATGCTTAATGCGACGGCTCTGGGACACATGGTATTCCCAGCAAGACATAAAAAGGCAGGTGTGCCAGACACATTTAGAACCACAGAAACCCCTGAGGCCTCCATCGCATTCAAGCCATTGTTGACCCACCACCTTTCAAAGGCTGTAACGTTGCTGTGAAAATTAAATTGTATTCACAGCTTAATTCTGTTCCTCGGTTTGTTCACATAAGTGGCTGCTAGAACATTTGAATCGATTGGCATAACCTTTTAAAGGAATGGTTTGTTTCCACTTTCAGTCTTAACCAATTATAGCCAAATATTTCATATGTGTTTCAGCCAAATATTACACAATACGAGTAAAAAAGAAACATGAAATACCAAAAAGAGCTACAAACATTTCCATTAAGCTACATGCATCATATTATGCATCTAGGCTAATATCTATGTAAAGACACATAGGAAGGATGTTAAAAGATAACGTTCAATAAGTTCCGGTGATTTAGTTAGACAGCAGATTGGCTGGCTCTCAATGAAAACAGAAGGGCATGAACAACCTGTTGCCATGACAACAAGCACATCCTGCAGAGGTAGCATCTTGGAATGTGCAGATGCTTTTTAAGCAGTATTCAGTGACTACACTTGGGGTCAGAAGTCTGTAATAAGTATGCGTGCGGAAAGGCAACGCCAGACTGTCAAAACTGAATTCTCAATATACTGTAAAAGAAGGTTGATGCATCATTTCAGATGCATTAAAGAAAAGTGAAGGGGTCAGAAGGGACGGTGGTCTCATGCAAGGTGGATCACTCCTGAGGTACTTCGGACAGCAGCTGTGGATAGAACGTTTCCGTTGTTCCATACAACCTGGATGTCTGTGTGATGGAGGTTTCTTCAAAACCTGATCAACCCTTCATGATATACTGTGTATAGATAGAGATACTTTATTTATCCAGAAGGAAATTTAGGAATACTGATATTCTGATATACTTCTCCTCAGTTCTCCATCCATCCATCCATCCATCCATCCATCAATCTGTTTTCCAGGACTGCTGTTAACATCAGCACCTCACTGTCACAGTCTCTGTCCATCTGGCCCTGTCCCATGTATCTTTTCCCTCCTTGACTGCTGGCCATCCCATCTGCTTCCCTAGTGTGTTTCACTGCTCCTTGGGCCGCCAAATAAGCCAATGGACCGAGCGTGCGACTCTCTGGCTGCTACCCCTCCTGTCATAAGCTTGACGCTGGCTGGAGGCCTGCTTCATCTTTTTGTTTATATATATATATATATATATATATTATCCCCTGTTGTTTGTTTGGTTACGTTATGTCTTGTTTAGTTGTTTATGTTATTTTTAATGTTCTGTTTTACTTGTATTCCTTGATTTCTTCTAGTGTTGATTTGTTACAGTTTCCTAGTCACTAGTGTTTGTTAATTGTAATTTACTGCACCTGTTCCTTGTTGCCCTGCGCCCGTAGTGATTGGTTGATTTGGTTATGGTTCTCACCTGTCCTACATCGTGCCTTGTTAGTTGTGTATTTAAGTGCCTGTTCTTGTTCTATTCCTCAGTGATTCATTTTGGCTGTTTCCCTGTATTGCTGTGTGCTTCTTAGTTACAGTGTGGATTATTGTTCTAGGTGTTGCTCCCTGCCTTGGTTTAGTTGTGACTCCTTGTGGTCCCTTTGTTTTCTGGTTCTCCCTTGATGTTCTGCTTTGTTTATAAAACCCTGTCTTGTCAGAATTGCTAAATGGTTCGTCTCCTCCTCTGTCATGCCTTGCCGTAACACTGAGAAGCAAAACGCAAAATCCACTGTACATTTTAATTTAATCACTGATTCAACTGAATTGTATCTTTGTATTATGAGAGGAAACATGGGCATAAATATGGAAAAACACATGCAAATGTCAAGTAGCAGAGAACCAGGTCTGTGAACATGGTGTTTTTCACAATGCCTCCCCCCATAAAATGCAACACAGAAAACTGAGCTTCTGTGTTTTCAAGGAAAAGAAAGATCCTTTGAGGTCATATAAAACTGCGTGATATATTTATCCATAGTTTAAGGCTCTTAAAATTACTTCCATTACAAGTAAACACTTCCCAAAATACAACCCTAAAACTGACGTCCAGGGAAATGACCAAAACATGAGCGATATTAAATGATGCTTTGATTTAGACAGTGGAAGAGATTGTACAATGAAAATACAAAGAGGGCATGCTTGTGAGAAAGGGAATGGAACGGACACGTCCATGAGAAGGAGCAGGTCACTCTAACATCTGAAGGCTTAAACTGTGTTAGAGGCTGGTATAATGTCTCAGATCAGGTGTTTTAAAAATTAACAATTTTACTCAGGAGTATCGGTGCTTCTGAACTTAAAAACTGGTGTTGCACAAAAAAAACATTAATGGGAAAATGTATGCAGCTCCTCTGCAAGAGGAAAACAAAGGTTATGACCCTAGGATGTAGTATTAATGGCAAAGAAGGGGAGGTCATCGACAACTTTGACCTCCTTTGAACAATCAACAACAGTGAAGGAAGTAAAAAAAAAAACTTAGTACTGAAGTACTGATGTATTTCGAAGAGAAAAAAAACTGATTTCCTGTTTCCAAATATGAAACATCAGCTTCTTCCACCTTAATGCCCTGACAGCAGGGGTTCACATTTGCTGTGTCTTGTCCTGGCAAAGATGCCTGGAATAATGGGTGATCTCAGAGGCACGGAAGAGTGCACCAAAAGAAGGTGGATTCGGAATCTAAAATACAGCACAACAAAACCACCAGTAACTAGACTGGCATTTCAGTCAGTTATAAACGACGTGAACTACAGCATGATCCCATAACTTCTCCCTCAAACCCCATTAATTTAGAGCAGATGGAAGGAAAGTCTTATTGTTCTCCCTGCTCATCCCTCATCAGACAATAATCCATCATGGACTATCATGGAGAACCACCCCCAGCCCAAAGATGTTCCTCACAGTCACATCAGCTAAACATGAAATAACTTGGTAATGAGGAGAGAGAGGTGAGGATCATGCACTGATTACAGCACTGTGCCACACCCACCACACAATAAACCACCTCAGGGATGAGAACCTGAGTGCAGCCATGTGGTAGGTGGTACCTCAGCACCACACTAGTCCAAATGGACCAGTGTGAGGTTTTTTTCCCAGTGGCTGGAGTGCCAGTCCTGCCACCAACCCCCAGATTTCCCTGTAAGTTGGAGGATATCAATATAGGGCTGGATGTAGATTAACGTCAAACCCAAGATGAAGCAATTGCTGGTTAAGGGCCTTGCTCAAGGGCCCAACAGAGGAGAATCACTGCTGGCATTCTCAGGATTCAAGCCAGCAACCTTCCGATTGGTGGCACAGACCCCTAGCCTCGGAGCCACTACTCTGCCTTGTTACGGACAAGACATGGAAATCATCTCTCATATCAGTAAGTCCTAGTTGCTTAAGGGAAGACATGAATTTACACCAAAAATTACCGGAGAAAGCCAGCTCAGCAATGCCACAATAATCACCTAATCAAAGATGTCTTGAGTTGAACTCACATCAGCAATGTGCTGGATTTCCAGTAAGAACATTTTACAGTCCCTCCCCCTTGGGACAGGAGTTCATGTACAGAATATATAAATACAACAGCACCAAGTGGCATGTCATGAAATAAGAGAGGAAACTGAGCATCACAGCTATTGCTGTCTGATGATCTGCTCACTGCGGATGAAGATATTTTATTCTCACTGGCCTTACATTCATTTTGCCATTACATGAAAATCTCTGCAACAGCACAATGCTAATCAGTGTCATGAAACAGCAGCAGTACTGAAGGCTTGTGTCAGTTGCATGGCACCTATATTAACAAATTAACAGCATTATGCTGGTGCTAGTGTCAGATGTAAATCGTTATTGATTTTGCTAGTGAACACTCATCCTCCTAGTACTTCTACACACAAGAGTTGACTACAGAGCCTATGTTAAAGTCACTTCAAGGTCACAAGAGAAGTTCCCGGCAGGCAATCCTGAAGTCATAATAATAATTAATAATTAACATTTTATTTAACAATGTTACCTGTATACTTCACACAGGTTTTGAGTCTTCCAAGCGGGACTTAAAAATTGTTAACCTAAAGACGAAACGGGTTTTGGCAGACATTACGGAAATACTGTATGATGTTATGATGTTTGAATGAGTATTTATCATCCTTTAGACATCGAGTATATCGATATGCCACCTTTTCTATTTGAACCCCCCCCCCCGCATACCGGTTTCCATAACAACCTCCGTTTCAGTTTTTGTAAGCCTCTATTTATAGAAACATTGATGTCTCAGATTCAGGATCTGAAAATCATCCATTGATTGTCGCACGTTTGCGGGCGTACTGTTGTGCCACTGGAAAATACACGATTGCTTTCCCCTCGGCGACACCGTGAGAGACACACACCTGTAACTTAAAGCAAACTAACTAAGGACACGTTGTGGTGGCAGGTCACTGAGGGTAACGATCACACACTCGTCGGGTTAATCCTAAACTGCGCGACTCATTTAGCGTTCGTCTGTTGTTTAAACACCTACACAACCCGTGGCTGTCAGTTCCTTCCGACGCATTTTGCACACGTGTACCCCAGTGCACGCTCTTGGGTTCGTACTAAATAATAGATGACACTGATTCATTGGTGCACTGAATGTTTCTTATTCATATGCATGGTTTTTACACATGTAGTTTTTGTTGTAATGCGGAATGCAAAAACTTGTGACCCGAACGCGTGTGCGCTGCAGCCCCAGGGACACGGCGGTGCGGCTCCTTACCCTCGCAGCCCTGGAAGAATAAGGATCTTCAAACAAATTCCAAATCACCGGCTGCCACTTTTTCCAGCGACCCAAGCTGCCTTCGCCGGTCTCAACGTCCTCGATGCCCAGCTCGTCTTCTTCTCCGTCGCAGTTCTCCACGTTAATATCAAACACGTCGAGCGCCTCCTCGGCGTCCCTGTGCTGCCGGTAGGTCATCCAGCAGCACGGCTCCACGTCGGTCTCATCTATACCCCAGAAGGATAACTCTTCCTCGAAGAGGGGACCGCAGACGTCGGCCGGGCAGTGGAGCTTCCCCGTCCTGTAGTAGTTGAGCACGTAGGCGAAAACCCCGGGGTGCCGGTCGAAGAAATACTCGTTGCTTTTCGGGTTGAACTCAATGAAGCCGGATACTTGTTGCAGGAGCGCGGTCGCGGAATCCCCGTCGGAGACGCAGGCGAGCAGGGCGAGGCGCGTGCCGGGCAGCGTCCTCAGCGTGCTCCGGTACGTCTCGTGCCGGGTTCCCCCCACGTTGAGGATTATCCTCTCATTGTCGTCGATCTTGCCCATCGCTCTGGATAAGACATGACTCGATTAAGACTTTTTTTAAAAAAGTATTGAATATTTTGTTTTAGAAGTAACATCAGAATGCCCACCTAGCCAGAAAAGATTATCCGCCCAAGAAACCAACGAAGGTATCCCTTGTAAATGTTCTGCATGCACCAGGTTTGTTTTTTTAAATGCGATTGCATACGGCTCTGTAATTTCATGACAGATATCGCTTGCTGCTAGTCGGACCTCCTTCGATTTGCCCTTGTGCCAGTGGTATCAGGCAGTAGCTATTGACGTGCGTGCAGTTGCTGGTAGCCTTTATGAGTCTCTGTCTCTGTGGTTCCTGTTTCCTATTCTGGCAGGTGAAGTCGAATTGAATAACACAAACAGCCCTTCTGATTATTCATCTGCCAACTTGATCTGTTTATCTCGTCTTATTTTACCCACCGCAGATATAAAAATACTATCCTAATTTAAACGCTTTGCTTTTTAAAAAATATTATTTACTTGAAACGGCGTCAAGGAAAAATCCATCAATTACTTACCGGTTTGCGCTGTTGATTCCGGTTCTTCGTAATATTCGCAACAGAATTCTTCCTACACATTGTTTTTATTTATTTTATATTTCAAGTTTTTATTTTCTGTACCCCAATGCAATGCATTAAATTACGCGTCTAGCGCGTTCGCAACAGGCAAAGGCACCAAATAAAATGTGAATCTAAAAGCCTGGTTTTGTTTTGCATTTTACATTTCTTGCATTCGTTTTTCAGATTTGAAGCCACCCTTTTTACATTCCAATACGTCTGTCTTGTTGACATTTGGGCAGACAACCAGTTCCGTCCCGGAGGATCTGGCGGAGCTGTTCTTTCAGCACCAAATAAATCCCGTTCAGCTCCTACGTTTAACTACAGGGACACGCACGGCACGGACACGGAACTCTGTTATAAACTTCATAATTACACCATTGTTATAACGTGTAATCCCATAATCGGGGCTTCCCTGAGACTGTCTGGCTTTGCGCTTTTTTGCGACTTCGTAAAATGGAGGGTATTTCATCTTATAATACCGATATCCGGCTGGTTTATTAACCCACACCGAAAAAAATGTAGTGAAAAACATCAGACAAGTCCACCTTAGCTCCCCAGTTAGCTTATATCCTAAAAATGCGAACGGGAATTTGGATCGCGTAGTAGTAGCGGCTAAATAGATAAGTTTTCCTGCCGTTACGCATAAGTAGGATATACTACCCGGTGGGACGTGGTTTGTTTGCCGTCTGCCCTGAACAGGCTTATTTCAGTCAATCTGAAGAACAGAGGAGAATACTGACGGCATTATATGTCTCACCGCCAGTGGGTCACGGAGAAATGTGGTACGATATGAGTCGGAAACCTGCGCTACCTGCGATTTACTCAGCTGATGCGCGTCTGGCGCACTTATGGTCTCACACTAGTGCTGCGGTTCACCGATCCCCAAGAAAAAACATGTTTTTCGATAGAAAAATGGATTCATAAGCAGCGAAGGATCTTCTTAAGATCTTAAGAGACATAAAAGTAAATAGTGAAAATAACATAGTGAAGCTGGGCTAAATTTCATACGAGTGCTGCTGATAAGATAACCGCAAATACCTGCCTGGAAGGCGAACTGTCAGTGTGTTTTAGTCTGTTTTATAGTTCCAGTAGCAAGTGAGTTTAAACAGTAAAGTTGTAGTCATTCCCTATAATCATAATGATTACAAGTCTGCAAATGGTGAAAACGAAAAAGGTAAATGAGTCATTTATCGCAAAATTTATCCGCTCGACATCATACAACTTAAGAGTAGGGCTGTAAAGATTGTTGTTTTTGTCTGCCACACTGGAATATTCCCGGTGCGTCGACTGATGCCTTTATGAATACACTGTTAAGGTTCCGTTTCAGATCCACTGACAAATCTAATTACTGATATCACTTAATCGTGAATATTATGTGCCCTCCAAAAAACATTTTATAGAAAATCCATGGGAAATGGGGTATTCGCGCTACTGTTTTGCATAAATTGGAAGATTACAAACATCTAATAATTTCAACAAGCTCCTTCTGACGTCATATATATAAAAATATAATGTTATTAGCTTTGGAGTTGGATTAGCCTACATAATTAGGCTAGGACATACGTGCAAATCATTTTGACAAATGTGATGTCTGATCCTCAAACCATGGAGTGTGCATTTCGGAAGCCGTTGGCTATTATCCTGAGGTTACGTTAGAATTGTCAGTATGAGTCCGTCTCGATGCTGGGAAATATGTTGCTAAAATCGAACACTTGGCACCCACTAAAGCCTTTTTTCATGGCGTCTATTTCCCATTCACCCAGTCTAATTTTACCGCCGATCCATCGTTTTCTGTCTCCTTGCATCCTTGCTTGTAGCTCTATGACCGACCAAGTTAAACTCTCCGAGCAAAACTGTTACTTTTCACCGTCTGACTCCACTGGTTTAACTTTTAAGTTATGATGTTAATAATATGGAAGCGTGAGACATTACGAATACACCCATCCATCTTCTAACTGCATTTCTAGTACAGTGTTATGGAAAGTCTGGCGCTTAACTCAAGCTTCATAAAGCATAAAGCAAGGGAACATGCAGTCAATCACGGGGCGTAGACAAGGAACCAAATGCTGAGCAGTCATGCTCCTGTAATAAGATTACACGTGAAAGTAATGCTAAGGCTATTATCTAAATAACGGGCCAAGATGTGTCTCTTTCAAGTAACGTGATTCTTTTTGATTCCAGCTCCTTTCATTGCAAATTTATAACAGCCCACTTTGGAAAAATCTATGACAGCATTGATCTGGCCACACGGGGCCAGCGTTGCGGCTTCTGGTTCCTGCCTGTACTTTCTGTGTTGCTCCACAGTGCGACTGCCCCTGATTTTAGCTTGTATACGAACGCATATGAACAGACACACATACATCGATTTGCTCAACTTTGGTTGGAACGAATACTTTAAATTTTAACTTATGTGGAAAAAAATATAATATACCCATAATTTATACATTTCCTTAAGACGGTTTTTACTTTTGCTAACTAGCCAGTGTTTATTTTCAGAGGGCTGAGGTAACACTATTAGAGAGGGAGAGCAGCTTTCCTCAGTAGCTGGGTTTAACGACTGTGCATTTGACTCTGTATGAAGGGTCACTGCCCACAAAAAACGGGACTCTGCTAATCAGACAGTGCGTTTAATGTGTTAATTTATCAGTTAAGACAGCTTATCCCAAGTAATTATTCGATCCTGCAATAAAACCAAATGAACACAGAATGAAGCTGAAGGACAAACTTGTTCCCATTAAGTGTTTTTCCCTTGTTTTAGCTTTCAGAAGAGAGGACAGCAAGCTGTGTGGACAGGCAAGGACCAGCTAGGACACAGATGTCTCCCTACAGCTAAGCATCTCCCTGCCATGTTCATCTCCTTGCCATGTTCCTCACGTTTTCCCACCTGGCTTTCTGAAGTCTGGCTGCTGGTGCTGCATCTCCACCAGCTCGACCAGAAACTTCACGCCCGGATCGTTTAGTGCTCTCACATGTCTACGTCAACGAGGCCAGGTCTCCAGCGCGTGGCAGATTTGCACAGCATGCTTGAGGCGCTCCAAACATCAGCATCTTAACATCTCGACCTCATGATCACGTTCACCAGCACGAGTGAACGTTCGCCGTTCGAGTTGATTTTTAAAACCCAGAAGAATTAAAGTTTGCACCTTTATAAATGTTCAGCGTGAAATATAATGGCCTTGTGAGCAAAACAATGCATGACCACTATTGATCCATAATTACCATTTTAACCAGATAGGGTGACAGTAATCCAATAGATAATCTGGAGTTTACAGTGGATCTCTGGTTTGTGGGGGAAAGAACACGCGTAGCTGAAAAAAATAAAAACAAAATAAAGTAGAAGAAAATTTACACAAGTTTTGATGGAGCAGAATTACCCACCCAAACTCTTACTGTCATGGTAAGGCTATATATATATAAAGAAAAGTCCTTCAGTAAACCATTTAAACAGGTAAACAATAAGTTATTACATTCTGTTTAAGTCATTGCTTAAATATTGGAGCTAATGGTAAAAAAAAAAGAGAGAAAAAAAACTACTACTGCAGCGTTACCTTGTTGCACTTCACTATTATTATGATGCTACATGCTGCTTTTTCAAGGCAAATGATGAAGCACAGTACAGTTTGTAGCACTCTCAGTGCAAGACGCTTCCCATTCAGTCAATCTCCTCTATGCTTTGCCCCATTTCCTCTCTTAGGTGACCTTGCTGGCCATCACATTCTCCTCATCCCCCTTTGTCACCAGCCTTGTCTCCAGCTGGCTGTTTTATGAGCCGTCTTCATCATCGACCTTACACTTCATGCTGCAGCGTGATCAGCGATTCCTAGGTCACCCTTAAACATAACTCAAGCACTAATTAAAACAAAAACACTGAAATGCAACGTAAGTACTGTAGAAACAGTCCCACCAACTCCAATACTCAATTATTACTTTAAAATATATCAGTTTTCCAACTATAGACCATTACTCGTACATATAAGCAATTGGGCAGAAACTTTTTTTTTTACTTTTCCAGACCCTGAAATCCAGTCCAGGACTGGAGTGATACTGGAGTCAGGAATCTCAGTATACCTGGATCAGGATGGCAGTCCACTACAGGTGCCTCACACATTAAAGGCAGTTTAGAGACACATGAACTGCAGGTCTTTGTCATGTGACAGGAAACCCACACAAGCCCCGCTAGAGTGTTCCATCTGCACACATGCTGGAGCTGGAATCAAATCCGCAAACATTTTGCAAACTGAGCCCCTGCAAGCAATCACAGAAAAAACCTCCAGCATCACAAACTTTTAACTAAGGGAACATTTAGTTAATTAAAACACCAAGTAAAAATCTCATTTTTCCACTAGATGGCAACTTAAAATGTATCGTTTTTTTCTATTTCTATTTCTTAAACTATATAAAAAAAAATTACATTCCTTAGGTGCATTCTTTCATGCTTTTGGCTAAGTGTACATATTTTGTTGTCATATTCTTTTAAATCTCTCTAACAGCCAGAATTTCTATCTGTTCTCATTTTTTAATTAAAATAATTTGCATTTTTATTACACTGCCACCGTTTCCTTAAAGCAGGACGGGGAAAGGCTTCTTAAAGCCTGCAACCAGCGTTGAGCAATGATGTGGAGCAGAGGTGCAGGAATTATTTCTGGACAACCCCATTAAGTCAAGCAGAATCCCTGGGTCCATTGAACGGGGAAATCCAAACCACAGGGACAGTATTGTCATCCGTATGCTTTATTATCATAATTGTGCTAATTAAGTCATTCATGAGTTGAACAGGACAAAAACTAGTTGCAATCAATGAGTAGGAATTCTCTATTGTTTCCGTGAGACATAAATTCATACATGCTCTATTGTAGATTTGAATACTGGAGGGAACCTACACAAAGGTGGGGATGTGCAACCCCCTCACATCATCAAGTCAAGTAAAGGTTTCTCAACGTTCAAAGTGAAATGACTCTCTTCCTGCACAATTATGATAATAAGGCATACGGATGACAATACTGTCCCTGTGGTTTACACTGCTAATCACTGCACCAGCAAGTTGTCCTGTTCAACAGTGCAGTTTTAATCATCATAACTAAATGTATTTTTTTCTTCTTCATTAAAATATGTATTTAAAATGAAGATTTACCAAAGTGGATGTTCAAAATAATCTATGAACCTTTACATCATTATATGATGCTTGATACATTTGTCATGAGGGAGCTTAGTTGAAGCCTGTTATGCTTAAAGTCACTGGCACTTGCTATTGGCACTGGCTATTGGCACTGGCTTGTGTTGGTTTAGCAGTGGGACACTAGCTTAAAATGAAACTATGGCACCTTTTAACACTGTACTCACTCATAAGAGCATAAGAAATTTACAAACGAGAGGAGGCCATTCGGCCCATCAAGCCAAGGCCACTAAATACTCAGTGCTTCCAAACATCCAGACTAATCGGCTCTGCAGAAAGTCCAAGAACAGGTCTGCGTAGGGAACAGGTCTGCGTAGGGAACAGGTCTGCGTAGGGAACAGGTCTGCATAGGGAACAACTCGCAGCGGAGTCGATGAAAAGAGGGCAGCATCTATAAATAAGAAGCAAATATAATAAGCTAACAAAGAACAGATCCAGTGTCCTGAAAAGAAAAACAAGAACTCAAAGTTTATGGCTATGTAGAATGAGCAAAAGGCCCTCAGAGTGCAGCAGAAATACTGAAACATGTCAACATGAGCGCAGAATTCATGTGTAGGCAGTGAGGCTTTTGCTGGTCAAACCTGCATACTTAACAGAAATCGGAATCAGCATCAGACAGGACTCAGCGCTCTTTTATTCCCACTGTTAGTGTGATGGGCCGGATGCTGGCAAAATCATTTACTCGTGAAAATGCTTCTTTATTGCATTTACCCCAGAAAAAAAATCCATGCTAAATATTAAAGCAGCTTCTCGCCGTCTGAATCTCTTTTTCAAAGTCACGACCAACACATTCAAGTATATTCAGTAGCCCAGGATAAAGAAGTTAGCCATTGCTGCCATCTAGTGGCTATTTGTCCTATTAAACTACGTCACAATAAGTTACCGCTTTTCTTTCCTATTCAACCATCCTCCATCCCACAGGCGACTGTGGTGAATATAATATTTATTATAATGACCAATTTATTACACACACACACGCGCGCGCACACACACACACAATTATATCTTTATAGGGACTCTCCATTCATTTCTATGGGAAAACGCTAATCCCAACACGACGACCTTAACCGCTACCCAGTCCTAAACTTAAACATAAGTCGCAAAACTAAATAAGATACTTTGGTCATTTTTATTTTTTCTGATTGCATTCACACAGAACGTCAAAAATAATTTTCAGGTTTTTATCACATTTTAATATAATTCGGGGAAGATGGTGGCGCAGGAGGTAGTGCAATCGTTCGGCAACTGGCGGATTGCAGGTTCGAGCCTTGGCTCCTTCTAACCCCATCAACGTGTCCTTTAGCAAGACACTGAACCCCCAAATTGCTCCCGGGGTGCAGGTTGGTGCCTTGCATGGCAGCCACCGGTGTATGAATGTGTGAGTGGATGGGTGAATGTGAGGCATTAGTTGTAAAGTGCTTTGAGTACTCGTTGGAGTAGAAAAGCGCTATATAAATACAATCCATTTACCATCCATTAATGTCAACTTAATTCGCACACACATACTTTTACATCCATCCATCCGTCCATTTTCCAAAACCGCTTCTGGGTTGCGGGGGGTCCGGAGCCTATCACGGAGGCTACGAGCGCAAGGCAAGGAACAACCCAGGATGGTCCAATCATCCCGGCGAACGTATCCCAAAGGGTCAGCCGTGGACTGCCAGTCCATTGCAGGCCATAAACACTTCTCCAGTTTTGGTAATGCGATGCCATTGCACCGATCTTAACAGTCGATATAAAGTAGGAATAGCATGGTGAATAATTTAAGCAAACGTTTAATTAAATTTAATTTAATTTAATTGAGGCAGGACAAATGAAACTTAGAGGACTTTAGAACCTCATCCTTTGGCTGAATATTACACTCCCTTTCTTCCTGTTCCACGAACACAGTCAAGTGCAACTGTAGCGGCAGTTCCTATATAGAATCAGATGTGAAACTGAAATCAGTCGATGCAGGAAGAAGATCGTTGTTAGCAATGGCGGTCCAGTCGCTGTACCTGGCAATTTGTACAGTCATCATAACATCTATAACGAACGCGCAACCATTAACGGATATCACCAATGAAACCTTCATCGACATGTGTGTCAGCGCTCACAATAAGCATCGCTCCAGGGTGACCCCCCCGGCGAGCGACATGATGTACATGGTGAGTTTCCTGTTGCACTGTTTACGTGCGGAGCTATATGAAATTAATAATTACTTATGTGTACTCCGCGATACATGCTGCAATAATTGTTGCTTTAATTGTAACACTAGTTGTAATTGTTTTCTTGCCTGTAAGACTTTTAATGTCACGAAGAAACAATAAATAACCCGCATTTCTGCCCCAGCTTTACCATCTGTAGCTCAGCTCCAATTTTCACGTTTTCATTTCTTGCACAGACTTGGGATGAGACTTTAGCAAAAGTTGCTCAGGACTGGGCAAGTAGATGTATCTTCGACCATAATCCCTTACTGCAAATGCCATACAAGCTGCACCCATCATTCAAAGCAGTAGGTGAAAATATCTGGAGGGGATGGCCAGTCTCCATATTCAGTGTGGAGCCTGCTGTACAGCTGTGGGTTGACGAGGTGCAACATTACACCTACATGACGAAGAAATGTACTGGCGTCTGTGGCCATTACACTCAGGTAAGCCTACTGAAGGTATCATTTCCCCATTGGAGCTTCCATTTTAACTGATAATCAAGCCTATTATGAAACATAAGCAGGGCTATGGAATAGCTGAGGGTCTTCTAGGGGAAGTCTGGGTGGGCCTGATTTTAAACACTTACATTTAAAGAATGTGATTTTAAAAAACATGGAGCCTGTTTTAACACATTTCTGATCCCCAGGTCGTGTGGGCAAAGAGTTACAAGGTCGGTTGTGCTGTCCATGTCTGCTCGGGAAATCCACAATTTGCAATATTTGTGTGTGACTATGGAGACGCGTAAGTTCTTAGCCCCCCCCCCATCGACCCGCCCATATGTTAGAATGGAGAGCTGGGCTTATGCTTACAACATATTTCTCAATTGCTTTGGAGCATTTCTCAAATGACAATTAACATTTGCAAAACAGCAAGTGTAATCCCCACACCATAATGTCACTTCTGCACAGCAGAACATCATTTCTCATTGCTTCACATACATTGCCAAATGTTTTACAACATACATGCAAATGGTTTTGTACAATTGTCATCATTTGGCACATTTCTCAGTTGCTTTAGTCTTGTTAGTTAAAATAGATCATGTAGCTTCCCACTGTAATAATTTTCCACCAAACATATATACAGTATATATATATATATATTTGTGTGTGTGTGTGTGTGTGTGTGTGTGTGTGTGTGATCATGATGTTCCACACCAGGTGAAAAACCAAGCTTTCAAATTGATTTCAAAATAATATTCCAGACATTGCAGTGATGTGGTATTCTTGTGTTTTTGGTTCCCACAGTATGTGATTTTGTTGTCAGTTTGCTCTTGTACTGCCATTTTGCTATTTTTTGTTCGCTATTGTACCGTGTCTTAAGATGTGAAGTTACATGTGCATGTGAGTGCTTCCTCTCGCCAGTGAACTTTACATACAGTGATGTAGAGCCTCGCAATGTTAACACTGGTGTCTTTGGCATGAATAAGTATCAATTTACTAATGAAAAATGATTGGTCAGTGACAATGGGAAAGTGGGACCCAACTATTATTCAGCATTGTGGAGCTCAGGAGCAGACTTACACTGACATACTGACAATATATCTAGGTATTTTGACGCTCATGGTTAATGCTGATTTTACTTTTAATTTTAGTGACACTGACTAATTCATTGGTGGAATTATTAGCTTTTAAAACATGAGCTAATTGTTTTGGGTAAGTTACAGGCTTTTGCAGCTAAATCATAGTGTTGTGTTATATGCATGAATTGTTTTGAGAAATGCTCTTATAATCTTCATAATGTTAAGTATGTTTCATGAAATGTGCCAAAGCAATTGACATGGGCGGCTACAGAATAACTTTCTCTGATTAGGGGGAATTTCGTGGGACGTTACCCATATCAGCAAGGAACTCCCTGCTCTTCATGTCCTGGGAAAAAGTGCTTGAGCAATTTGTGCTGTAAGTGCTTCTTGATTTGCTGCTAATTCTTCACATGCATCATGATCCTATTCTGAGACAGTTCCTCAATGATGACCAGTAGCTCTAGTGCCAATCTCAGACTTTTTGATTGTTTTTGGGTTGGGTGTCTATAAATTTCCTATAACTTTATATGATTGTGTTAGTGAATGTGTGTGTACCCTGTGAATGACTGGCAACCTGTCCAGGGTGTTACTCCACTCTGAGCTTCCTTGGATAGACTGCAGGCCCACTGCGACCTGTATTGGATAAGGACTTGGAAGTTTAGTTTAGTTTAGTTTAGTTTAATTTAATTTAGATGGATGGATGGATGATAGATAAATAGAGACATTTTCTAAACTTGCTGGTCTTATAAGGGTCACATATGAGCATATTCCAGATTCTAAGACCACAAGCCAGGACATAACCCAGGACGAGGTGCCAACCCATCACAGGGCAGAGAGATAGTTCACATATTTAAATAAATGTATTGATGACAACACATTTAACTTATAAAATACTGAAATGGGCATTCTATACAATAAAGTCCACCTGATTATGTGTGTGTTCTTCCCTTATTTCTTGACAGATGACCCCAAAGAGGTCAAGTTGAAAGGTAAGTGGGGTCTTAGACATTCTCAAATTATGAGATTTTGTGCGTGTTTGAGTGGCTTATTCATGTGTGCAACCCCTGTGCTTCCAGAATACGACTGGGCGTCCGACTCGGACCAGACTTCAAACAAAATATGTAGCCTGTACTGTGTCTCTGTGCTGGTCTGCAGGCCCCTACTGCTCCTCTTCACGGTGCTGGGCGTGTTAGGCGTGCAGAAGTTCTACCCCAATCTGTTTGTATCTGAGTGATAGAGATGGTGTTTCTCTTAGTGGTAAAGGAGACGTACATGTGGTAAGAAGGGACCGGGTTTCAATACCTACACTAGTGGCCAAAATTGTGGAAACACTTCCAACTTTTATAGATTGCAGAACTTTAACATTAACATTTCATTGTTGCTCCAGTTACTTATTTAATCGTCCAATGCATGTCCAATCATCCAAAATGTCCAGCTCTATAAATGAACTCTCTCCAAGAATTTTTCTGATGCCACTTTTAATGATAGTGAAGTGGTAAATTTTTATATAAAAGGAAAATCAAATGAACGTTAGCAGAAGCATAGTCTTATTGCAAGAACGTGAGATGGTGCTCCACTCTATGAGGAACCAGACAAGGCTCACCAAAAAGGAGAACGCTGATCACTTGTCTATATCAGGCCCAACGTTAAAACTGTGGAAGCCATTTTAGAAAGATCGTGCAAATGAGACTGCAGTGGATGCCAGTGCCAAGGTGACATGAAAATCAACCCGTGCCGACTCAGCATCCAAGAACTTGTCCTTGGAGAATCTACCTTCCATTAGCGCGACTTCAAGTCCAGCTCAGCTGCATGGAGCTGCAGTAACTCAGGGAAATGTTCTGTTAGTTGCTCTGACCCACCTACAAATACCACAATTTGTAGAGGAAGGGAATGGGGAGCATTTTGCAAAGCAAGTTTATGAATATAGCATTTTACAGCATAGAAAAGAGTTACTCCACCCCCCATAGATTTCACATTTTCATCAGCTTGCCGGTTAAAGCAAGCCTGTTAACCGCAGTGACTTGGCTGTGTTAAGTAGCCGCCACTGCAGCATCAGCTCTGTGTCTGTCATTGTGCTTGATCATACATCACCTTGACTTCTGGCGTAATATGTGGTGCTAGTGTGCGCTGCAGGCACGTAAATATGACCATCCCCCCAAAATGTGTTACATTAATGATTTTTCTAAGACAGCTAAATGTTGTGGTTTTCTTTGGAAATATGAAAAAAGGAAGTCCAGCGAGTGGTAGAAACTGTGGTTTTTGCAGGAGCTATATTTACATAAACTATATTTTATAGAAGCTAGCTTTGAAACACAAATAAACTGGGCCTAACTTGCAAAGTTGTGATGTAATAGTCCATTTTATGCAGCATTTTTCAATAAACCTGTCACATCTCATTTGCAGGAAAAAATGGCCATAAGCATAGAGTCAAATTTCATTATAAAGGGAGATTCTTTTGTTTTGATCACATGGCAACATGGTGATTAATATCATTTCATTAGCCGAATACTACTGTTTCATATCTAAAGAGGTGCCTGTTACTGTAAGGAACAACTGGTTGGATACAAACAGGTAAAACAAGAAACCATGTAAACAAGAGGAAAACTTCAAAATTCAATTGAACATTTATGAAGACGGACAAGTCTCTCTAACATCCAGCTATTCCATGTAACACACATCACAAACCACAGCCAAAGATGAACCAAGCAGGGCTGACCTTCTGTAAATACAACTTCCATCCAATGTCATATACAGGTACCTACCCATTCAGGGATTTCATTCCTCTCCCGGAACCCATAAGGTAATAGTCTTCCTAAAAAGCTTACTTGTATGGACAGCCTTGAATAGCAGGTTTAATTTTAACTTCTTATGTTAAGTACAAATAAGATTAACACTACAGATTGGAAATATATGCTATAGCAGGGGTCTCCAACTCCGGTCCTGGAGAACTACCGTCCAGTAGGTTTTCTATCATACCCGGCTTCTGATGAGCCACACCTGTTCTCAGGTAAATACCAGGAGCAGGTGTAGCTCATCAGAAGCCAAGTGGGACAGAAAACCTACTGGATAGTAGCTCTCCAGGACCGGATTTGGAGACCCCCGTGCTACAGTTTCAACTAGCAAGCACAGAAGGAAGGCAGCCTATGCAGACTTACATGATTGATTAATAATCTTCAGCTGGATGTTTCAGGTTACCTTATACCATATATTTAGTGCCATGTCTATTATAGAGTTTAATTTGGTAATAGATACAATAAACTTAAGTCAATACAATGGTAAATTATATGCTATATGGACAAAAGTATCAGGATACACCTCTTAATCGTTGAATTCAGGTGCTTATTTCAGACACATTGCCACAGGTGTATAAAACCAAGCACCCAGCCTTGCAGTCAGGTTTACAAACATTTGTGACAGAATGGGTCATTCTGAAGAGTTCAGTCAATTCAAGCGTGGTACTGTCATAGGATGCCACCTATGCTATGCATCAGTTTGTGGAACTTCTTCCCTGCTAGATATTCCACTGTCAACTGTGAGTGGTATTATTAGAAAGTGGAAGCATTTAGGAACAACGAAAAAACTCAGCCAGAAAGTGGCAAACCAAGTAACAGAGTGGGGTCACCAAGTGCTGTGGCGCATAGTGCATAACAGTTGCCAATGCTCTGTTGATTTAATAACAGCAGAGTTCCAGACTTCCTCTGGCACAAAAACTGTGTACCGGGAGCTTCATGGAATGGGCTTCCATGGCCAAGCAGCTGCATGCAAACCTCACATCACCAAGCGCAACGTCAAGCATTGGATGGTGGGGTGCAAAGCAAGGTTCATGAAGATATGGTTGGGAGAGTTTGGTGTAGAAGAATTTTAAAACCAACCTAGGCACATGAGGAAGCTGGATGGACAAGATCTGGGAAATGATATGGGGACCACGGCTGAGTAGGGAGGTTCAAGGGAGGACTGAAGGGAACAGGACCAGGAGGAACAGGATCAGGAGGAACAGGACCTGGGAAGTAATAACAGGACCAAGGCTGAGCAGACTGAAGGGAACAGGACCAGGAGGCAAAGGAGCAAAAAAAAAAGGTGGAATGAACTTGGGAGGCATAGGGCAAAACCATTGACAGGATACTCGGGGTCTGATGAAAGGCCGGGGAGAGTGGACTGCTACAGGCCTGGAAGGATGATCAGCTGGGCTGAGCAGTACAAAGGTAGGCAACGTGGATGGGACAAGAATGTCCAGAGTGGGCATCACAAACCCATGGGAAATCCGAGGGCCCATGGGCACTGGGAATGGTTGCTGGCAGTGGGTCTGGGGAGCACCAACGGCATCCATGCCCCCGGCGGCTCCTTAGGGACACAGACGAGACCTGGGCAGAGGCCGGTTAACGGGCAACCACAGACACTGGATGGGTGCTGGGGAATTTGAGCTGGGCAGCCCCATCAAGGCCAGGAGTGTGGGTTCCAGGCTGGGCAGGGCTCTGGAGACTCGGGCTGTTGGGTCAGGTGAGGGTGCAAGAGATGCAAATCCCAGTGTAAGAGGGGTCCTGATGGAGCCTTGGCCTCGCCAGGTTCAGTCGCTCATTCAGTTATGCACGGGCATGGTGAAGGAAGAGATGTTATGGCTCCAACAAACAACTCAAGCAAAAGGACCACAAGGGGTCAAAACAAAGTAGATAAATGACAAAAACTAAAGCAGGGAGCAACTCGGGAACAAGAACAACCATAGCAGAACAGCTGCCACAAACACAGGGCAAAATACACACACACACACACACACACACACATCCAAATCTTTACCTTATTAAAGCAATTAGCTAAAGTGACAATATATGAGATGTCATTGAATGCACATGTCAGCATAGGAGTGATAGTTGACATTATGTTTTCTCATCAAGTTACCCAATGGCAGCATGTAGAGGAAAACCAAAAAAGGACCAAGAGCTGAGCCCTGTGGTACTCCATATCTGACTGGTGACATTGATGGAGTACAGTTATTCAACCCTTGAACATATTGATGTTGATTAGGCAAATAGAACCACACACACACACACACACACACAAATACACCCACCCACACATACACAAGTTGTAACTATACCTGTGGGGACTCCATTAATTTCTGTGGGGGAAATGCTAATCACAACATGACAATCTTAACCCCCACCCAGCCCTCACCTTAACCATGAGTAACCAAATGAAATAAAATACATATTTGGCATTTTTACTTTTTTGACTGCATTCACAGATCTTTATTGGGACCTGAAAAATGGTCCCCACAATGTAAAAAAAAAACAGTTTTATTACATGTGGAGGACAGACTGACAGACAGACAGAAAGTTACATAGATGGATGGATGGATGGATGTGACTGGGCCTCTTTATACTGCTTGCTTGAAACAAAACCTTCATTATTTGTAGTTGGTGATTTGTAGTTTCTGGACCTGAATGTTACAACTCTGTGTGTGTGGGTAAAGCCTTCAATTTTATTTAATTATTATATGTGTCAATTTAACAAAAAGGTTTCCAGTTAGTTCATAATGTAATCGTTCTTGCACATAATAAAATAACCTATTACATCGTTTTCAGTTATTTCATAATGCAGGAACTACTTTTTACGATATTATTGGCAAAATATTACTTAATGACTTATTGCATTATTTTATTACAATGTGCAGTTATTACATTATGAATTTCTACACACCCCAGTTGATAAAATCTTTGCTGGGGGACCCACCCACCAAAATGTATTATGTACATTATCTTTGTAAGACAGTTAAATGTGAAGGCTTTCTTTGGAAATACCAAAAAAGGTAGCTGAGTGACAGAACTGTGGTTTTTGCAGGAACTGCATTTAATTGAACTGTATTTCACAGAAGCTAGCATTTAAATATTTGTTTTGCTGTGAGTGTTACAACTGAGGAGCAAAAACAGAGAAGCACTCTTTGGTAGAAAATTTAAATAATTGCCCTTAATAAATTGTGCATCCAGTTAGCTGAAGAAAATACAAAAATAAAGAAAATACACACACGTTTTCCTGGAACAGAAATATTCATCCAAATTCTTGATAAAGAATTAGAACTCATAGACAACTGTCCTATATACAGTGGTACCTCAGTTCTCAAACTCACAGAACTCGAATTTCTTAAAAGTCAAACCAACCAGTTTGGGAAAAAAATTAGCTAGAACTCGATCTGAATCTCAGAAGTCAAACCGTGAACGCTGACCTAGGATAACTTGTCGGCGGGTACCGGGGAAATGAGTCACGCGGAAACAAAGGGTAAAGCTTCAGTCTCAGCCTCGCATTCGCTGTGATAGCACCGTGCATGTTTACACTAACAGAATACATATATTTAGACCAGGGGTCTCCAACTCCAGTCCTGAAGAGCTACTATCCAGTAGGTTTTCCGTCCCACTTGGCTTCTGATGAGCCACACCTGCTCCTGGTATTTACCTGAGAACAGGTGTGGCTCATCGGAAGCCAGGTATGATAGAAAACCTACTGGACGGTAGCTCTCCAGGACCGGAGTTGGAGACCCCTGATTTAGACGGTAAAAATACATTTAGACAATGATAGACAGTAACAGTAATTATTATTATATAATAAAATACATTTAAAAAAGATTTCTTATTCATTATTTTAATATTAATAATAAACCATTAGTACGTTTAATTATAATAATATTATTGTGCTGAGAGGGGACGGAACGGAGACAAAGGCGCAGACGTCAGGGTATCGGGGAATACGGGGTTTAATTACAGGTAAGGCAGGCAAAACGCAGACGGACAATACAATGACCGGACTGGGGAAACAAACTGAAATGCGGACTAAATACAGAGGACTCATGACAACAACCAGAAACAGCTGGCACACGGAAGGAGCAGACACATTGTTTGGATACATTTATTTTCTTACTTTACAAATTACTGTTTTGATAAATGTGCTTAGATGTGTTTAGTACAGTATATGCTCTTCTTGTTTTATCCGGTTCATTTTGTGTTTAAATGCTAAAAAAAAACATATTTAGGTGTAATTTTTTTGGGGCCGGGAACCAATTAATTGGTTTTCCATCATTTCTTATGGGGAAAATTCGATCACAAGTCAAACTTTTTACGAAAAATTTGGGTAAAGTTGCCTATGCTCATATTGTTAATTTTGTATCCCTGGGTGGGATGCATCTGGTTCCTCCTACAGTCCATAAACGTGCTAAAGTCAACTGGAGTTATCAAATTATAGGTGAGCAGGGTACACCAGGTGAGTGTGCCCCGCAGTGGGTCTGCACCCCCCGTAACCCGGAATAGGACAAGTGGTGTATGGATGAATGGATGGGTCCACCTTAAGAGCAAACACCTCCCTCCTTGACCAGGTCGACCTTGACCACAAGCTCATCTTTCCAACAGAGATAGTGACAACTACCCTCAGGCCAGACATCATTATGTGGTCAACTTCTCAGAAACTTTTGTATATTCTGGAACTAACGGTACCATGGGAAGCTGCTGTTGACGAGGCATACGAGCGGAAAAGTTTTAAGTACGCTGAATTAGCTGCCCACACAGAACAACGCAAATGGCGTACTAAAGTGTTCCCAGTAGAAGTTGGGTGCAGAGGGTTCGTTGCCAAAACTACAACCTGGTTCCTGAAGAGGATGGGGGTGAAAGGACAGGCCCTTCGGCAGGCAGTAAGTCACTCTCAGAGGCTGCGGACCGAAGTAGCAACTGGCTGTGGATCAAGAGAAAGGACTCAAATTGGGCGACGATATGACCGTTGAGGGGTAAAGACAGAGGGGAACTCACCTGGGATGCTAGGTGTTGCTTCTGAGCCCTCCGTAGGTGTCATGGGGCTAAATCAGCGAAACACTGAAGATGGAGGGTGCCCACCTGATGACCCCAATGATGATGTTTTCCCCTCTCCCATTCAGCATATAAAGCAAGAAGCCGTGCTGATTATTCAAGGGATTGTTCAATCAAGTCCTAGAAGCTCTAGAAACCATAAACAGACAGGCATCTGTGTTTCATTATTTATCAGTAAAAAATCACAGGTTTTTATTTTAAGATGTTTAATAAAACATTAAAATGCATTAATATAGCCCTGTTATTAGGCGGCTGGAACTACCTGTGCAGGTACACAGAAATGAATGAAACCATGATGACTTGCAAACCTCATCTTTTCGGTTAATATTGCATGCCTTTTGTTCCTGTTTCACAAATGCAATCAGCTGCAACTCCTGTAGTAGTTCCTGAATGCAGCTGAGAAACTGATATAAGCTGACGCAGAAAGAAGATATTTGATAAGGAGTCAAAGGCTTTGGAACGTGATTGTACGCAATGGCGGTCAATTCGCTGTGTCTGGTAATTTGGACAGCAATCGTAACTTCCAGGATGAATGCGCAGCCATTAACTGATCGACAGAAACTCAACATCTCCGATCCAATCTTCAGTGAATTGTGTGTCAGGACCCACAATTACCATCGCTCCAGAGTGACCCCCCCGGCGAGCAACATGATGTACATGGTGAGGAGTTAAGAAATCTGATCTATTTAAAATTGTGTTTCATGTGGCACTGCACACTGTAATGTGAAATTTATACATTTTTATGTTTACTTTGATTGCTGCAATATATACTGATATATATGGATAATTACTGCAATAATTGTTCCTTTAATTATAACAGCTGCAATCGTTTTGTCAGGAAGAAACAATAAATAACCTGCATTTCTGCCCCAGCTTTACCATCTGTAACTCAGCTCCAATCTTCATGCTCTCTTTTCCTACGCAGACTCGGGATGAGACTTTAGCAAAAGTTGCTCAGGACTGGGCAAGTAAATGTATCTTCAGCCATAATCCCTCACTGCAAATACCATACAAGCTGCACCCTTCATTCAGAACAGTAGGGGAAAATATCTGGAAGGGATCGACTGCCTTATTCAGCGTGGAGAACGCAATCCAGATGTGGGTTGGCGAATCGAAGTACTACTCCTACCAAACAAACCAATGTAACGGCTGTGGCCATTACACTCAGGTAAGCCTACTGAAGGTAACATTTCCCCATTGGAGCTTCCATTTTAACTGATAATCAAGCCTATTATGAAACATAAGCAGGGCTATGGAATCGCTGAGGGTCTTCTAGGGGAAGTCTGGGTGGGCCTGATTTTAAACACATTTAAATAATGTGATTTAATGTACAACTGACTGAAAAACATGGAGCCTGTTCTAACACATTTCTGATCCCCAGGTCGTGTGGGCAAAGAGTTACAAGGTCGGTTGTGCTTCCAACACCTGCCAAGCCGGAACAGAAATAATATTCGTGTGCAACTATGGAGAGGCGTAAGTTATTACAATAATCAAAAGGAACCCCCCCCAACCCCCATGTCAGAATGAAGTAGTGCTTTTATATTTCATTTTACTGTTATGTCTGACATGGACGGCTACAGAATAACTTTCTCTGATTAGAGGGAACGTCGTGGGACGTCGCCCATATCAGAAAGGAACTCCCTGCTCTTCATGTCCTGGGAAAAAGTGCCTGAGCAATTTGTGCTGTAAGTGCTTCTTGATTTGCTGCTAATTCTTCACATGCATCATGATCCTATTCTGAGACAGTTCCTCAGTGATGACCAGTAGCTCTAATACCAATCTCAAATTTTTGGGTTGGGTGCCTATGAATTTCCTATTATACATGATTGTGTTAGTGATTATGTGTGCACCCTGTGAATGACTGGCAACCCGTCGGCTCTGAGGTTCCTGGAATAGGCTGCGGGCCCGTTGCAACCTGTGCTGGATACGGACTTGATAGATGGATGGATGGATGGATAGATATCCATCCATCCATTTTCTAATCCTGCTTCTCTTATGCAGGGTCATATGGGGTTCAGAGCCTGTCTATACCTATGACCCCAAGGCAGAGAATAAACCAGGATGGGGCACCAACCCATCACAAGGCAGATAGTTGACATTTAAATGTTGACCAAAACCCATTTAAGTTTTAATATCAACACTCAAACCAGGTGTACTGTGAAATTATACCCGATTATGTCTGTGTTCCTCCCTTATATCTTGGTAGATGGGGTTCGAGAATCCCCCAAGGAGCCCGACTCGGAATAGAGTTCGGCACGGGACAGGATTCTAAATTCTTCGCCCGTCCAGAACCTGCAAGATTCTGTCCTGCTTCCTCCCTCCACTGCTGGTCATATTTTGTCCTGCTCCTGCCTGCATCCTACAAGTCTCATCCCATTCCTGCCCACAGAGGAAAAATACAATGACACTGCTTACTTTCCAGTTAAGAATAAAGACAAATCAGTACCCTAGTTACCAGTACCCTAGGCTAAATAATCTATGGTCAAATTTTAACTGTTAAAACAGGCTACATCTTTCACGTAATAGCAGGCTAGTCATATATATTTTGCCTGCAACAACGTGTGCAATAATAGGTCATTGATCCACACTGTGTTTTCATTGTTTTTTTAATGCAGTTGTCATTTCATTTGCTGGCATTTGCAGTGAATTGCAGTGCTGACTGGTGCTTCGAAACAATTTATTTTGCTGGGCGTGTTCCCATAAACTCATTTTGCAATATATTTCCATACAAATAAATCGGGCTTAACTTGCAAAGGTGTGATGTGACAGGACAAGTTGTTCTGTTAACAGGACAAGTTATTTCAAAAAGGTCAAATGTGCAATTACTAACATCATAAATGGAGAATCCAGCATTTTGATCACATGGCAATTAATATAGTTTTATTAGCTGAATACTGCTGGTTCTTACCCAAAAAGGTGTCTGTTACTGTAAGAAGCAACTAGCTGGACAAGTAAAATGAGAAACCATGTAAACAAGAGGAAAATTCAATTGAACATTGAGGAAGACAGACAAGTCTTTCTAACATCCAACTATTCCAGGTAACACACATCACAAACCACAGCCAAAGATGAACCAAGCAAGGCTGACCTCTAGTGGTTCTGTAAATACAACTTCTGTCCAACGTCAAATGCCTGCCCATTCAGGGATTTCATTCCTATCCCAGAACCCATAAGGTAATAGCCTCTCAAAAAAGCTTATTTGGATGGACAGCCTCGAATAGCAGGTTTAAATTTTATTTATATAAAAAAAATAATAATAAAAAAGTTAAAGATTAACACTACAGAATGGAAACACACTGTAGTTCAACTGGCAAGCACAGAAGGAAGGAAGTCAGCTTGAGCAGATGTATATGGCCGATTAATAATCTTCAGCTGGGTGCTTCAAGTTACTTGGTCCCAAATATTAAATGTCATGGTTTAGTTTAATAGCAACAAATACTGTTTAGTTTGGCAATAGCAAACAGTTGGCACCACGTGAAGGTTGTGACATTTATGTCAAGAAAAAACTGGAAACAACAACAACGTTGTGGTTTGAATGTCTATTTACTGCTGCCACATATGTGCATGACTGCCTTCAAGGCACTGGCCCCAAGCACGGTTACAACAAGGAAGCCAAACGTTCCCACAAGTACAGCAATAACAATGAACATCCCATTCCCTGAAAGAGAGGAGAGGAGTGGAGTAAGACTAACATCACACAGGTTCTCATCAAAAATTCACACGTCCACTCACATGCAAATTCGCCTTTCGACATCCACTCGCCACGATCCATGAAGACTGGGCCAGCAGAGACAACCGCAAATCGCTCCTGACTGCTCCCTCTCTGTCGTCTTTTCATCTTTGGATAGTTCTTGGTCGGAGGACATTCCTGGGGGAGCATGTTGGTTAATCAACGACCTTTTGCAGCAGACGGCTGGAAGAGCTGGAGTGGAATGCCTGAGCTTACAGTCACACAGTCTTCATCCGGGGTGCAAATTTTAGTCAAGCAGTGGATGTAGATGGGAAGTTCATCATTAACAGACATGGTGAACATCTGAACAGAGAACCTGCTGCTCTTCCCCGACCCATTCAGTGTGAGCCAGGAGAACGTATCATCGGAGGGGCAACTACAGGAAGAGGAATGAATAAATTAAATAAAAATAATCACACCCTACCAAACAACTCAACCAGGTCAGAAGACCAAGACGAATCTCCAAGGTTATTTCAAGTGGAGAACAATGAACTTTGATTTAAAGGTTGCAAAATCACAGCTATTTAAATTGCTGTACAATTTTGCCATACAATAAGCGTACAAAACAATGCCTTTGAGCAGTGTTTCTCAACCCAGTCTTCAGTGACCTCCAGTTTTCTACCCCCTCCAAGCTCACAGCACACCTCCAGTGTTCATCTGTGTTCTTACTTGTTTGGTTCAGGTGTGCTGGAAGCAAAAAAATATAGGTGAAGTGACTAGCAATGCTGTGTACAGACTGAGGGGCAGGTGCTCGAACAGGGGGTGGGGCATTAATTTTTGCTCAGTAAATCTTGCATGATTGTTGGTTATTCAAAAAGTGGCACTTAGAACTTTCAAAAGGGGGGGGGCGTGCACTCCCAGCCCCACACGTGCCTGCTGTCTGGGGTTCCTCGAGACCTGGGTTAAGAAACACTGCTTTAAAAGATACACACTAAGCAAATGATTTAATACTCTGAAAATGCCTTTTTCCCCCCATAAGACTAGGATTTCACAATTTCCTAGATGCAACAAGGATTTCGACGGCGGCACGAACGCACCCGTCTTTAAGGAAAAAGGCTTTCCTGTCCTCGACTGCATCCACTGTGCCTGTTGCCCAGCATGACATCACTGCCAGGAGCATATCGTGGGCCAAGGTGTCCTGCGCTTGGAGTGTCACCTCGAGGAACAGGTAGTCTTCTGGGCTCAGTACCACGCCATCCGTGTAATTGTACATGAAGGAGGTGTCATTGTACAACATCATGCCAACATCCAGAATGTGTGAGAAGTTGTAACTAACGACAGAATGGGAACTAAACCTGGCAGACGAGAGAGAGAAATCAAATGAGCAGTATTTCAGCCTATTCTTCAATGTGATGCCTTCTGCAAATATACAACATGAGCCAAGGTCTGGTCCTTCCATTTTTTTCAGAACTGGATCAGATCTTCCTTCAGCTAGAGTCAGGGTCAGCCTCTCACCATTCAGCATCCATATTGACCCGGGCCCCATGCAGAAAGTGGCGGGGGTAGGTACACCTCCACAGCAACCGGAGGTCATTCCGGGTAATTGTCTTCTCATGGCTGAGTGTCACTGTCAGGGAACTACTGAACTCTATGTGTGTCTTGTTCATCTATAAACACACATTACATACTGTGAAAATTTTCATAATAGTTTGCTGTTAATAGATGATATTGAATTGCGATACTTTTTCAAAATGAAGTTCCTTTGTTCTAGTATATTTTAGTACACAAAAGTGATTCCTCCCTGAATTTCAAATTACAGGTGGATGTTAACAATGCGCTTGTGTGTCAGAAACTGACCTGCCTTTCAGCCCCACACTCCGAAGGTTTACCGGCTATCTTGAAAAAGTAGAACGCGTCAGTCTCGTTCACAGCACAGCGTCCGTCATTCAGGATGGCGCTCACGTTGCCTCCCAAGAAGCCGGTCAGGAATTCCTTTGCCAGTCCACCAGCGACAAGGCTTTCCTTGCACTCAACAAACATCCCATTCTCTGAAAAAATGGAATTCATCTATACTCAAGCAGACTTCATTGTCAACTTGTCAGACAACATACCAAAGTGATGTTTACAGGATGCTTCTTGGACTCTGTAGACTAACAATCCATTTGCACTTGAGCTTCAATAACTTATCCAGGCCAATAAAACTACCAATCTTCTGAGGCAAACTAAGTAGCCCTCACTTCTCAAATTTAGTCACTGCTCACAATTTTCCAGTCTAGTCCAACAAGGTATCACATTTAAAACAGAAGCCATAAGCTTCACCCTATGACATCATTCTTCACTGAATGCAGAACCTAATCAGTGGTGACAGCAAGCTTCCTAAATCCTCGCAGTCATGTTCAGTAGCGGAAATAAGTGACCAACTGTAACAGGCTGAGGGCACAGGAGGAATCAGGAAGTGGCCGACGTTGTAGTAACCCTCCTGACACACGCAGGTGTAGGAGAGCAGGGTATTGATGCAGGTGGAACTGGAATCACACCAGTTCAGTTCATAGGAGCCACACTCATCAGGATCTGCAAATTGGGTAAGGCTTAAAAACACAGCCAACATTTCCATGGAGACTTCAGAAGACATTACATCACATAAGATTCAAGACATTTACCATCCCAGTAGATCAGATGGTCTTTGATGGTGATTTGGGCTAAGCTGAGTGATTGAATGTAAGTCAACAGCTCCTCGGAGGACAGCTTTACTTTGACATCGTCATTGGAAAGGTCTAAAACTTGGAAGGGGATCTTAGTTTGTCCTGTACTGTTAAGGTCCTCAAATTCAAGCAGTTTCACCTCTACTGGATATGGCAACCCACTGAAGATGGCCTGTAACTAAGAAGAATAACCGTAAAAGGACTACAGCAATGTGTACTCTTACCACCTTAAGGTCAACAGGTTCTTCATGGTGCCTACAAACCAGAAGCTAACCTTGACCTTCAGTCCACATACTTAGAGTATGTAGTGTTAAGTGCACTTAAAGCCACAGGTCTTTCTTACTTTGGCTCTGATGATGCTCTCCAGCTCGACTCGGGCTTTTGCCTTTGGTTCTCTGAGGGACTCCGGCAACATCCAAGGTACAATAATAGCAGCATGCAAATCGGGATTAAAGTGCGACCCTTTAGATTGAACAAAAAAAGACCATGAAACAATGGAAATGGTTCTGGTCAGTGTTCCCAATGAGCTACAGCAACCCAATACCAACCCAAGTGCCTCCCCTTTGGTACAGGGTAGAGGACGTCATCGTCGGGAACCGGTTGCCTGAGGAATCGCAGCGTTGCCGGTCTGCCCCGCTCCCCACCACACTCCTCCCAGACCTCCATCTGGTATGGGCTACCAGGAACCAAGCCCGAGAGTAGCACATCAGTTTGCCTTACCCTCCCGCTACTCACAAGTGAGCCATTTGGGTGGGAAAGGCTGTAGGCGAAAGCCTTTGCGGGGCCTGAGGCTGAGCTCCAGGAAGCAGTGGAGTTCTGCTGGTGAAACTGAAGGTCGAAGATGCTCCCAGGGCCTTAGAATGGGGGGGGGGTGTGATTATTCACAGATTGCAAATGAAAGACATCACCCTCACTTCATTTTGACATTTGATGCAGACAACTGTACCTGGGTTATGCATTGCAAATTAACAACAAGGTTTCCGCATAACTTGGTGATTCTACGTTTCCAAGGACCTTATTCACCTTGCTGTAAAATGTTTTTTTCCCCTTCTATTTATTCTTTTTCTGATTTTGTGCTTGATGTTGGCTGTGAACGTATGCACCAGTACTGCCCAGACAAGTTCCTAATGCCTTCCTTGCAGGTGTACACGGTTAATAAAGTGAATTCTAATTTTTTTTTTTGTATACAAGTTCACGATTCCGACCTCATTTTCCAGACCATAAACTGTTACCGCACATTTCTGCACTTCTTGATTGTCTTTTCTCATCATTTGTTTCCAATTACATGGTGCTGTATTTGAATGCCTCTATAATGTCCATCAATACATGTCCATCATAAGCACAAATCAGGTTCTGCGCACACTTCAAAGCCCACCTGTACTGGTCTGTATGGTCCTAGTGCTCATGACAACGCTGTCCCCACACACAGCATCCACTCGGGCCTTATACCGGCCACAGGGCTGCAAGCCCACCACCCTGTGTGTCGGCAGGAAGGTGGACTTCTGAAGCGCCCCCTGGTGGTAGACCCTGAACACAGCAATGGAGGAGGTATTGGGCACCGTCCATCTTAGGGAGTAGCTTCCTGGGCTGGAGGCCACCTGGCGCAGGTTCCTGATTTCAGAGTTTGCTTCAGTGATTGAAAGAAAACAAGAGGATGTCACCCACCATTTTAACACTGCCGTAAATTTGACTCAAACCAAGGGGAGTCCAAGTAATGATGTAACAAAAGGAAATGTACATATCATTCAAGTTCAAGCTAAGCCAATGTTTCCTATCCCAGTCCGCTGGGAATCCCCAGACAGCCTGAAGCAAACAAGCAAGCAATTAAGAATACCAGAGGTGGAAAGTTCAGGTGCAGAAAGTACAAATCCAGACCAAGGCTTTGTTTCAACCAACCAGTTGAGTAAAGAGTCACAGTCACGGTGTACTCAATGGGTTGGTCTGGGTTTGTACTTTCTGCACCTGAACTTTCTACCTCTGAAGAACACTGGATATCTGGTATAGGTAAGTTTGGAACTGGAATGGAGCAAAACTGTGGATTGTGGGGGCAAATCGGGCAAAGACCTCGCCTTACCGGAGTTGCCGTCGATAACGACCGAACTGCTCATTCGAGACTCGCCACTGGAGTCACACACGGTCTGCAGAGCGAACTTCACCTTGCTGCAAGGGGGCAAGTCATTGACTGTGAAGATGAAGGGCTTCCGCTCATGCTTGAGGGACGCCGTCTCCACCACGTGGCTGGAGGCATTGAGCTGGAGCATGGTGACCAGGAAGGAGGAGTAGAGCTGCTTCTCAGAGCAGTCCCAAGCTATAGTAATACTGCTGCTGTTCCACGCCCTCACACTGAAGTTTTTCGGGACATCTGGATCTTGGAATTCATACAAAGACACTGCATTCATGAGGTGTTCATTTCACCTGGAAATGCTCAAAACTCAAGAGTTCTTTATTCTCAACACATCCATGTACAAGTACACAGTGCTTTGAAATACCATCTCCCCCAGGGCCATCTAAGGTGCTATACATAACATCAACAACACAATACAGTGGTTTTCATTGAAGAGTCTATTTCCAAAACTCTTTGAGATGAGACCACCAATGAAGTCAAGCTTCCTCATTATACACACACTATCAGGAATTAAACTCACACAATCTAACACGGAACTTCCGTTAAATTTCCAAAACCCACTAAATCCAGCGAAATTCAAAAATGAATTCTGTGGAATGGGCGAGTTTTGGAAATCATATAGAATAATGTGTACATACAAAACCAATTGATGAACCCCATTAGGACAAGTTTCAGCCAATATAACTGCGCTTTAACAGAAACACGCCCCCCCCCCAGACACCCTTACCCGTGAGCGTCTTGAGACAAATAACAGAGGAGCTGCCTGCCAGCTCCAGGCAGCCCAGATAGTTACTGCAGGCATCCAGAGACGTAAATCTGTATCGGTCAGCACGGGTGGTGTACGTGACTTTGGCAGCCTGAGCGTCCGGAGGTGACCGATACAGTGACACGCCATGCACAGGGTCAGGGGGGAGGGGAGAATCCGCCACCCAGGACAGCAGCAAGGTGGCGCTGCTGCGGGACACCACCTTCAATGGAAAACGATGGGTGGAGCCTAGGAGCGGATAAACACTTATCACACGACTATGCACGCAGCTATAAATTATATTTTGTAGAATTTAGGGAAAGAAAAATACAGAAATACACATTTTCCCCATACACATATGCACCTACTACATAATCTTTAATATTCAGATATTACCATGAAGGATGTGGTATTACACAATTCATTTTATTTATTTATTTTTATTCATCTACAAGGGGTCATAAACAGATGGGGAAACACAGAGTTAAATAACTAAAGACTTAGTTCAATATCCTGGTTATCAAAGACTAACTACAAGACGTCTATAGAACAGATAAAGGAACAGTGCAAGACCAGGAACAGAACTGAGAACTGAAGTAGAAAAACACACCATATAGACTCGGTGCAAGTTTGTGAGTTTAACACAATGACCAACTGGGGAAATTAACTAAGGCAAGAACTTAAATACATATGGAAAACCAGGGAAAACAAGGAGCAGGTGTAACAATCAATTAACCAATCAAGGGAGGTGCAGGAACAATGAGAAACAGGGGGAAACAGCAACACTAAATAAACACAGAACTAAGGGACCGAGCAAACACTAAAAGACTAAGAATACACAGCAAACACTAGGGTAACAGCAGAGAGACTAGGACCATAATACACAAAAACAACACATAGCAGAAACCTAAGCCTAAAAACAAGAAAAAAATACACCAAGTAATAAAATACTAGGAAACAAAAATTCTGATAAAACAGAACGAGTGAGACTAGCCTCAAACCCACAACCAGAGGGTACTGCCTTGTTGAGCTATGCGGCAGCCCAGAACATGAAACAACACACAAGGACTGAGGTCTACGAGCGGGAGGGGGAAAACAGAATGACCAGCAACACACGCTAGCCAAAAACAGGACCGGGTCGGACAGGTGCTGACCCTGACAGGTAGAGACTTACCAAGTACGACGATCACATCTTCTTGGCATAGATACAGTGTGTTGTTTTCACAGGCAAACACTTGCGTTGGCTTGAAATGTTTGAGAGCTTCCTGTAAACATAAAGAGAAACACCCCGTGGGTGAAAACGAGAGTCAGACGAAGCACTTAGTATTTAATATAGACTGTATGACCGCTGCATAATGAAGCCATAAGCAGGGGGGAAACTGTAAGTATATACTGCAAGAAGCTTAATACTCACTAAAGTCTCTGCAGATGGCTTATCCTGAGCTTTATACTCACTCCTAACTATGACTGTATTCAAACCTTTGAAAAGAGTGTTATTAGATGAATTATTAGTAATAGCTTGTTATGAACCACTTGCAGTCCTTAGTCAATTTATATTTAGAAAATTCAGTAAGAACAGACCCTTAAGCAATGCTTTCCCTTTACCCATTTTTACATTTTAAGTGACTGACACTCGATCTTCCCAACCCCCTTTCTTTTTTAAGGCAGACCTGAATTTACTGAAAACCTCCACAGCCGAGAGCCGCCTCCGTTTTTCAGTCTCAGCGTGTGCGTGTCGGACGGGGACACGGTTAGGGACGTCAGTTTGCCCCTGGTTTCTATGGGCTCCAGCTGGGAATCGTTCAGGAAAAGCTTGATTTCCGGTCTATAAAGACAGAGAACGATTATGAATATAAACAAGTATGAGCATGAAACCGCATATACAGGAGTATTAGTGGGATCTACTACCTGTCAGGTGAAGTATTTTCTTTTATCATCCAACAGACGGAAAAGGCGATACTGTCGTCGGCACCTAAAATGATTTGAGCAGGTATTTACAAGTGATCCGCTTTAAATAAATTTGATAAACTGTAGCATTAATCTGGTGAGGTTTCAGGATTAATGGCGGAAAAAAAGCAAAATATTCTAACTTCATTTCAAGTAGCCTAATTAAGACTTACTGGCCGACGCCGACTGCATCAGTAGAGCTAATACGAGTATTAATGTTGATATAATCCTGCAAAACATGCGTCCAATTAAATGCAGTTTAAATTCTGTTGATTAATAAAGATGCACAAGTTAATAACCAAATAAATTGTTTACATGATCATTTCCGATTAGGTTTCTGGTTACAACGCCGATTTGAAAGAAATCGATGAAAACACAAAACCATTGACGTCGTTTTGCGCCCCATTACAAATACTGATTCCAGAATAGGTAGACAAATCACGTGTTCAATTAACACTTCATTCAGCAATAATAATATCAACATGATATATAAGGCTTATTTACACGGTCAAGCAAAAAATACCACTGAGATTTAGTGGACAAAAATATTTCCTACAAAAACCCTCTCGCACAAAATGGCTGGCTTTTAATTCACGAAGTAATTAAAACACAATGCAATTAACTTGGATGTATAATTAATGCGATCCTGTAGCTTAATTAACAGACAAACAAATGTGATTAAAGGCAGTTCCTGAATTGTGGAGTGCTGAATGACATGGGGTGAGTGGGCGTTTGGGATCCAAGCTTCCTCTCCATTTATCAGTTCAGATGTGTAAACATCCTAGTGGTCAGTGAGACCATCCGTCTTCTGCGCCCATCATTCACTGTAGTGCGTCCCAATGTATTTTCACAGTATATTTATATATTGTCGATGTTCAGTGAAAAATGCGAATCTACAAAAATTCATTATTTCAGAAGCATGAAAAAAAAGCCCAAACTGCAAAATAGACTTTACATATAGACTTTACAAAGTAGCCTCAGCACGTCTGCAGGTCCTTGAGCAAGGCCCTTAACCTCCAGCTCCCTGGGTACCGCTACGGGTGGCTGCCCTTCGCGGACAACTTACTCTACAAGAGCAAGTTGAGGGAGGCGTAAAGACAATTTCCCCACGGGGCTCAATAAAGTATCAGTTATTATTATTTAAAAAATTATGAGACACCTTTAGCACCAGACGGATGGTAGTAACCTTTGATGACACAGCAGTCAGTGAACGGTTTAATGTTTTAAAACGGCGATTCTCAACCCGTGGTTCACGACCCAAATTTCGTTCGCGGCAAGTTCTGAAAGGGTCGCGAGGCATATAAGTATCTTAAAACTAGCAAGCTCCTATGCTGATCCACGATCAGATTTCACAGCCCCAGTACTAGAATGAACCTACATAAACGGGTCTTGGGTCGGCAAATGCTTAGCGCAACACTAGTGAACACTCAGCCAATCCAAAAAGCCAAACCACAGATGCTTAATTTAAAATTCATTGGCACATCCAATCAGATTTGTGCGATAGGCGTTGATTGGCTTGAACTGCAGAGTGCACTGCATGCTTTATCATAGAGTTAATTTAGCCTATACATAAATAGGGTCATGACTGAGCTGGCATGGTAAAAATTGGGTCGCGGTGCAAAAAAGGTTGAGAACCACTGTTTTAAAAGGACTTGGGCAGTGTTGCCAACTCTCGCATCTAACTCTCACGCAAGAAATCTTGCAGCAAATCTATATTATTCCATTATAAACCTAAATATAGGTACATCAAATGGGTCGTTTGCAAGCCCTACAGGTGATTTGCAAGGTAATTAAACTGTTACATCCATGTAAATGCATGTGTGTGTGTGCAGACTTGTTTCAAATTGGAAAATCTCACTCTGGCCAGTTGACCAAAGTTGGCACCCCTGATTTAGCTGGATTTCTTATTGTGTTTCTACGACCCACAGTTAGATCGAGCTTCGTCTCTCTCTTCACTACATCCTATACATCCCTAGGCTAATAAATGTCAGTAAAATACCACAGGAGGGCTCGAACAACTGATCAGAGACCACAGAATCAATTACCACCAAAACCTGTCTAGCATTTCAAAGGGTCCCCCTTATCAGCTGGCCAGAAGGTTAGCTTACTGTAATCTGACCAGTCATAACAAACCTCTCTGATGTCTGCTTTCACAGAAATAAGTAGGGGAAGAATTGTACTTTACACTCATATTTAAAGGGTTTGTTTCCAAAGTATTACTTGAACTACTGGAAACAACCAAGTTTGCAAATATGGCCTCTTAAAGGTTAATAAGAGAGCATTATTGCTTATTCTCCTCTTCTGTCAGTTGGAATATGAAAGTCAGGAGACGAATCCCTCGCTGTGCTAGTTATTAGTGAGAATCAATCATTCGTTATTTATCGCAGTAGCTGGAGTTTAATCGGGGCTGTTATGCCTGAGCAGATGACAGATGATTTCCATAATGTGGGAATCGATTGCTCAAATAGTGAGAGGCTAAACACATCAGAGGAAGGCAACGTCAACGTCAGCTGAAAAAAATCATTTCAGCTGACATACACTGAGTGTTGCCAGCAATTAGCTGTATTGTTGAGGTTTATGGCTCCAACATCTGCTGGCTTCAGTAAGAAATAACCTTACCTGGGAGGATGAAGATTTCTCATTGTATTTTTGTGGTGCTGTACTGTCCAGTGTTTTTTTTTCTTCTTCTTCAATGACTGATGCTGTGTAGTGAAAGTCTTCTTATGGCTTAACAGTGCCCTGCAGCCTGAAGGAATTGCCCTTTATCCATTTCACACGAATCACAATTCTCACAGCTCTGTACACAATCTGGGTTCACAGGACCAATTTTACTATTTTCTGGCTGATTCATGTAGAATTCATGGCCCAATAATTGCAGAATGAGGGATTGGAAGTGGGGGGGGTGGGGGGTGTGGAGGAGGGGTGGCAGGGAGACAGAAGCATCCTCTGCACAAATCCATTTGTTTTCTGGAAATTTCCAAAACCAGTAATACCACGGGACAGAATATACGTCATCATGAAAAAGGATCGAGAGAGAAATTAGACAATTTTAAGGCGCTTTTTCCTTTCTGTTTAATCAAGAACAGTCTGTGCATCATGTGCCACAGTCCTAAGCAGCGTGAATTTGTTTTACTTGGCATAGTATTAAAATGGCCTTTTTGCTGATATCACTGAAACAGTGAAATATGACACAGCCAATTCCACCCTTACACACTGAGAAAATATGGACATGGTTAGTGTATCTCTCATAACTCCGATTTACAAATACTGCCCCAGAAATAGTGTTAGATAGCTGCCTGTCCAACACCCTGCTTTTAACTTTTCTCGTCTTCTTTATAACACTAGAACATTGCTGCCAGAAGCTGTCATACGAGCAGCCTGCAGACTCAGAAGTTACCAAATATAAAGATTCACAAAAGCTTTAAAGATGCTGCTTGTAATTGTAATTGAGCTGCTTGCAGTTGAGCAAAAAAAGGGATCATAAATGGTTTCTTTCCAGAATCAGACGTCAATCCCAGCCATGTAACAACTTCATTTATTAAAGCTGAATGACCTGAACTCTACCTTTTCATCTTAAGAAGGAGAAACCGGCCAGAGACTTCAGTAAAAATGGTGGTTTCCAAGTGACTGGTGGTGCTTCCCTTTGGCAAATTTGGAAACATTGTACCTGCCTGCATCGAAACCCCCACACGCTCTGCACAGGGCATTTGGTGGGGAAGGAAGGACTCTACCCTGCTCGACACAGAAATGCAGAAATGTTTGAAATGCCACAGGCACGTGGGCACTCGGGCATGTGATGTCCGGCCTTTATCGTCTGGAGGGGCTGTTATGCTCCTGCAGGCGTGTCCATCTGGCATGTTACTGGTGAGGATGTGCACCTAAGCCAGGTAATTGTCATTGGTACAGCAGGGTCTGCTACCCTCAGGCTGCTATAGATCCACAGAGATCCAGTGGATCCAATCAGACCAAGAGGGATCCTGCAGGCTATTCTTCAATGTGCCACCAAAGGGCCTGATGAGGTGTCAGGCAGTGGTGGTTCTAGACCACTTCAGCTGGGGGCCAAACTGGGGCCAGTTGTTCTGTTAGGGGGCCCAATGCATTTGACCTTAATGTCCTCCAGGTATGACTTACATTAGATTGCTAGCATCAAGAAGCAAAAGACAATTTTGAAAACCGATGTTATCTATGCAATGCTTTACAGTTACATTTTGCAATTTTGACAAATGTGTAACTCACTCCGATTTCTGGTTTAGACTGTCTTACTTCCACAAACTTGATTACTTTTTTTTACTTTGCTTTTTTTAGCCCATGTATATAAATGTAAATGTAAATAATAATAATGCATTTATTTCAGAGCCAAGTACCATATGTATCTAGGGGGGCCATGGGGGGGGGGCATGCATGTTGTTACAGAGGCACTGCCCCTCCCCCAGAACCCCCCCTGCTGTCAGGACCACTGACACACCAGCAGTTCACCTCCTTACAGTTTGTCACAGAGCTTCGATCTCAGAGATTTACTACAATGTGAGAGGGTGCTAGGAACACGTTGCAAAATTAACTTCAAATCAATGCAATTCAACTTGCTTACAGAAACAGTCGTTTTTGTAATGAATAATCATTTTTAGTTTTCTGTGAATACTGTTAGTCCTACAATCAGGGGGATCTCAAGGCATCCTTTGCCAGCTGCCTTCAGCCATTTGTCTTGGCTGTAATGTTGTCCATTCACAAAAAAAACGACACGGTGTTCTGCTGGAGAGAAACACTCACAGGAACGGAGGTATTTCATCTACTGAGCCAACCACCACTACACGTAGGCCTGCTCTGTGATTTAGACGACGTGTGCTGAAGTTGGGGGCGGGAATGTTCGCAAGGGTGACCAATAGAGCGGAGAATGACATCACCAGCCTGCTGTCACTCAAGCCTCTCAGCTCAGACAGAGGCGGTGACAGAAACGCGGATCCTGCCTTCATCCACGGCCCTGTTTGTTATTCCAGACGGGGTGCTTTTGTTTGTCTGCTGGGTTGGTTTATTCATTCTGCATTCTGGTTTTTGCCAGTTTAGTTAGCAGATGCCAATGTCCAGAAATCGAGGTAATGATCACAACTGCAAACACAATTTAGTACAAGATAATCTCTTTGAGATCTTCAATGGCCTGTAGGATTAGCAAGTTGGGCAGATACTGTTGCTGTTGCTTCATATGAAAATGTCATTCCTCAGTAGATATAAAGTCATGAGCACCTTCTGGTTCTTGGAGAAACTTCAGATCTGCAAATCCTGCCCTGAGGAGGAATCAGCCCAGGAACATTT